GTGGCTCAGTCGGTTCGGTGTCCAACTGTTGATTTCAGCTCAGGTCATGATCTCACGGTTCATGGGTTCAAGCTCCATGGGGGACTCCTTACTGATGTACTAACAGCATGGAGCCTGCTTGGGATTCTCTCTTTCTTGGTTTCTCTCTGCCCCTCCCCCACTCCCACACTTGCATTCTTGCACTCACTCACTCTGAAAAATTAACTTTGAAAAAAAGAAATTTAAATAACAATCTCAATTGAAAATAAAAACGACGTATCAAAATTTATGGGCTACAGATAAATCAGAATATATAGGGAGATTTGTAACATTAAACATGTATAATGAAAATAGCCATGCAAACATGGTAAACATTCCTAAAACCCACCAGACTTTCTCTAAGAAGTGTGGCAAATGCCAACAAAATAACACAGTACAAGAAAGGCAAGGATTGTCACGCGTCCAGGGGAAGCAGTGCTAGGACAGGAGGCAAAGTAACTGTGGCAAGCAGAGTAAGCCAATTTTCCACAAAAAGGTTAACACTACAAAGAAGATTATACTGAGGCTAGAATGCATTGAGCCCAGCTATGGATCTAAAAGAAAGCTGGCTATTAGGAACTGCAGGCATTTTGAACTAGGAAGAGATAACAAGAGAAAAGGCTAAATGATCATTATTATAAAGACAATACAATCTTGAGGTTATGTTCATTTAAAAAAAATTATATTAAGGGAAAAATGGTCTCAAATTAGTGATCTAATAAGTATTACCTGAAAAAATAGGAAAAGGAAAGAGAAGGCAGCAAACAGAAGGAAGAACATAATAAAAATATGAGCAGAAATCTATCAAATAAAAAACAAAAATAAGAAAATCAAAGAAACCAAAAGCTATTTCTCTGCAAAGAAAATGACAATAAACCTCTAGTCAGCCTGATCACAAAAGACACAATTACCAATATCAAAAATGAAATAAGGAACATCACCAGATCTATTAACATTAAAAGAAAAATAAGGAAATATTATGAACTATGACAATAAATTCAACAACTTATATGAAATAGGCAAATTCCTTTAAAAAAAATAATAAAGCCTATGACCTACTGTAGTAGACAGTGAGAATTCTAGTATTTATCTGCCTAAGGCGCTCCAAGTAGAAAAATCATAATGAGTAAAGATGTGGAAACACTGAAAAAAACAGGCGTTTATTACCGGAGTAAAAAAATGCAGAGTAGAGAGTAACAAAAGAAGCTAAAAAAGTAGAGATCAGCAAATAGAGGATAAGTTAGAAACAGAGATTAGCTAAGAGGCTACTGCATAGTTTGGTGACAGATGATGAGGGTCTGAACTACCGGGGGGGAGTAAGAACTGAAAGGAGATTAAAATCTGAGAAATATTTAGCAGATAGTTGCTAAATATTGGTGACTAATCGTGGGAAGAATGAAGGAGGTGGAGCATAGAAAGGCTCACCTGTTTCTGGTGTGGTGACCAGGTGCTACCAATTGATACTGGGACTAGGATAGCAAGGGCGGTGATGGCAGAGGAAGATGATAAGCTAAATTCATGGATTTTAGGTGTGGGGCACCTGTGGGAAACCAAGGTGGGGAATGTTTAGCAAGCAGCGGGATGTATAAATTTGAAGCAAAAGGGAAAAGTCAGCATTGAAATAACTTAGTTGATGGGTAGATATCTCACCTAAGGAGACCATAAGAAAAGAAGAGAAATGGCTCAAGGGTAGAATCCTGGATTAGAAAATCATCTGAAATTCACAGGGCGCCTGGGTGGCTCAGTTGGTTGAGCAACCCACTTGGGCTCAGGTCATGATCTCACCGTTCATCAGTCTGATCCCCACATCCGGCTCTGTGCTGACAGCTCAGAGCCTGGAGCCTGCTTCAGATTCTGTGTCTCCCTCTCTCTCTGCCCCTCCCCAGCTTGTGCTCTCTCCCTCTCAAAAATACATAAACATTAAAAAAAAAAAAAAAGAAAGAAAAAAGAAAGGAAGAAAAAATCATCTTAACTTCTGGAAAAGCTTTGTGATTTTTTGGAATAACAGTTCAGAACCAAGTGCAATTATGCACAAAATGTATAATATCAAAAACTTAGAACAAACCTGAATATCAAAGAAAAAACAGAAAGCCTGAGCTAATATGGAACATATTTAAAATGATGTTTACGAACAGTATATAGCAATGCCGAAATTGCTTACGATAAAACGTTAAATGTTTTCCCACCTTTCACAAATAATATACGTATGTATATTATTTAAACACTGAAAATAGGCATAGCAAAGTTTGGAAAGAAATGCAACACGTGTTAGCATTAAATGTTTGGGGTCGAGCCTACGAGCACGGCTATTACGGGGTAATCCGTATCTTGTAAACTTGCTAGATAACACTCATCCAAGAAAACCTGTCCAAAAGAAGAAACGCAGCGTTTGCTCCCATCTCTGGCGACGACCATCACACCCGGAGACCCCGACGCTGAAGGCCCTCCCACCAAAGCAAGGCTGGAGTAGAAGCCTACCTGAGTCGTGAAGGCAACTCCACGCGCTGTGCTGGAGGCCTGCGCCGCGCGGTAGGACCTGGGACTCCGGAGTCTGCACGGGCTTCCGTCTTCTGCCACTCAGGGGTGACCTCGTGCCTCCACCGTCAGGCTGTGCTGAGGGCCTTCCCCTGGTCGCTCTCAGGAGCCATCGCCCGGCCTTGCTGGAGGCGCCCGGGCCTTCCTGGCAGCTTCCCAGAAAACAGTTTCCAGCGCTGGCCCAGCACCCTCGGTGGATACTGGTCGTGGGGGAGCGTGAGACGCTGGCCTCGCCAAGCCCCCGCGGCAGCTGCAGCACAGTCTGTGGGCCAGCAGGAACCCGGCGTTGAACAGAGGCTCTCCGGCCCCTTCCACTTCTTCCACTCCTGCGGCGGCCTCTCTAGGCGGGTGTGCGTAGCGCTCCAGCCCCTGGGACCATGACACTGGGACCTGGGCCCAGGGACCTGCCGGGTAGCCAGGGCAGTGCGGCCTCAACAGGCAGCAGTCAGTGAGGCTGATGGAGGTGACCTGAGCCGAGCTCCTGCAGAGAGGGCGGCAGGCGCTCAGAGCCTCTTGAGGCCTCTCCGGGCCTTCGAAGGCCGACCTGGGCCCATGCGGCCCCAATGTAATGCCCTGCGGGCTGAGGTGAAGGACTGCTGGTGAAGCCCCGCAGGCAGAGCGGGAAGGCCCCATCCTAACCCGGTCCGTGAGGGGGAAGCCCCAGCTTTTCCTTCCCGACTCAACACCCTGAAGGGAAGCCAGGCTGACCACCACCTGAAAGCGTGAAGAGAGCCCCAAGCGGGCCCCGCCCCAGACTTCGGCCCCGCCCCTGGCGTGGCCCCGCCCTGGCGTGGCCCCGCCCCGGGATGCAGCCCCGCCCCCAGAGGCTTCCTCCAATCTCCGTCGTCAATTCCCTCACGGTTATTGACCGTTACCTGGGTGTGACACACAGGCCAGCAGTGAGGGAGAGAGAGAAGGCCCCCCAGGGAAGCTCAGAGAAGAGGGAAGGTCGCCCAGAGTTGCAACATAGTGCAACAAGAGTTGTGATGATGAAAGTGAAGACACCCATCCTTCTTTGGGAGGGTCAAGGAAGGCCTCCCGGAAGGACCCCTCCTTCACACAGCAGTAAGGAAGGAGGAAAGGAGGGTGGGATGCAACCCTTTAGAAGATCTGATGACGAAAGCCTCCCATGGGAAGGCTTGTGGTACCTTTCAGGAGCAGGCCACAGAGCAAAATGTGTTGAGGAGGTGTTGAGGAGGAGGCTTGAGGAAAATGAAGGAGGTCTGATAGAGTTTTGAGCAGTTTGAGGGGAAGGAGACTCAAGAACCAATGATGTAAACTCGACAAGGGCAGGGAGTTTTGTCTTTCTCACTGATGTGTCCCAAATGCTTGTAACAATGACTGTGATACTTTACCCAGACCCCTCTGGTTTCAATTTGGATATGGACAACGCACAGGTGATGGAGTTTTTGGAAGCAACCTACTTGCCCTTAGCCTGTGTCCCAGGACAAAGCCACTGAAACAGCATCTCGTCTTTTGTTCCCAAGTGATGTTTTGTACTTTATTCCAGCTGGGGCAAAAACTATGGGTCTTGTTCATTAGGGTGTCACCTAAGTCCCTGGGCTGGGAGGGTGACTGCTTGGATTGGTATGTCCCCAAGTCCTACCTCCCTTCTTTGATGCATGTATGTTTTGGATATCCTAAGGGCCCTCTCATCCTTTGGGGCTACATTCTTTTTCTGGCTTTTCCTTGGGGCCTGAAGCTTATGGACACAGGGCTTCTGCTGACCCAGGCTGCTCCAGAGCTGGGGATGCTTTGACCCTGACTATCTCCCTCAACTGTTTAATCCTTGAAAGAATTCCAATTCATTCCTAAATTTATCTCCATTATCATATTCCTAAAGTGGAAACTCAGAGAAGGTACCCTCCTTCTTTGGTAAGTTCTTCCTCTCTAGAACTTTCCTCCAAGGGTGGGGGAAAAGGTCTGGAGATTGGTTATCTGCATTTGGGTTGCAGGAGGAGGGCATTAGAGACTAAATAAGAGGAAGTGGTGAGGGACAACGGTCAAACGACAGGAGAGTAGCCAACAGGGACTTGCTGTGCAGAGTAAGGACCTCAGAAGAACTAGCTACATTTCTGCTGCAGAGTCTCTGAAGGTTTGGGGATTTGTAAGTTCCTACAGACTATGCAATTTCTCTAGTTCACCTTCACATATCCAGAAGAGTCAGAGGGCTATGGAACAGCAAGTGACACTAAGGGAATCACAGAACAATGGAGTTGGTAATGTGTCCTCTGTTGTTTTAGAAATGATCCCCTCCTTAAGAAAGGGGCGCCTGGGTGGATCAGCCGGTTAAGCATCTGACTTCGGCTCTGGTCATGATCTCACAGCTTGTGGGTTCGAGCCCTGTGTTGGGCTCTGTGCTGACAGCTTAGAGCCTGGAGCCTGCTTTGGATTCTGTGTCTCCCTCTCTCTCTGGCCCTCCCCTGCTCATGCTCTGTCTCTCTCTCTGTCTCAAAAATAAATATTTAAAAAAAGTTTTTAAAGAAATGATCCCCTCCTCTTTGCCCTCCCAAATCTGGAAATCTGTACTCTTTGTGACTTGTACCTCCAGGAGCTTCTGGACAGTAGAGCTGAGGAAAGCATGTCTACCTGCATCTACATATCTGGTTACAGGATCTACCCAGAGATAGAACCTGATGGACAAAGAGAAAAAAACTCCTGCTGGAAATCACAGTATGAGAAGGTAGGGAGAAACAAGTCCTCAGCAGACACCTGCCACCAGAAGGTGGAAATGAGCAAGTGTTTCGAGCAATCAATGCTTGAGGTTGTTGCAACAGGAGAGGCCAGACAGAAGGGGGTTTTCTGAAGATGAGCTCTCTGGGACAGTGTGGTTGCGTAAGAGGGTCTAGTAGTTCTGTGTGTTCCAGAGGAGAGGAGGAAGGGTAAATGAGGGGAGTAGAAGACGGTCTGTTAGGATTGTAGCTCCAGGGCAAAAAGGGATCTGGTGCCCAGTGATGAGACTGAATAAGGGAGCCTGGGGTCAAATGGAAGCAGAGGGATCTTGGGGGAAAAAATGAGGAAACTGGTTTGTGGGGATGAAGGAAGGATAGTGAAAGATGAGGTGAGACCAAGGCAAGGAGGATTCCCAGGCAGAGGAGATAAAGCCACCATTGGAGTGGTAAAAGAGAGGATTGAGAATTTGGGAGAGCCTCTGGCGGCAGTAATAGGGGGAAAGCAGGGATGAGGGAGTGGGGCCCACTGTGAAGGGCAGAGCACAGAGAGAAGGAAACAGGCTCTGTGGGAGCAGAGTCAGACACGAGCTAGGGAGGTGCAAGGGTTGACAGGATTCTGCAGGGTCCTGGCAAGGGAGGCTGATAAATAGGCCAGAAGCGAATGGGCTCAGAGGCGCCTGGGTGGCTCAGTTGGTTAGGCGTCTCACTTTGGATCAGGTCATGATCTCACAGCTCTGTGATTTCAAGCCCCACATCAGGCTCTGTGCCACCAGCTCCGAGCCTGGAGCCTGCTTTGGATTCTGTGTCTCCCTCTCTCTCTGCCCCTCCCCTGTTCACATGCTGTGTCTCTGTCTCTCAAAAATAAAACGTTAAAAAAAAAAGTTAAAAAAAAAAAACAGTGAATGGGCTCAGCCTGAAGGGCTGGTAATGGGTTTTCTGGAAGGTCTGGTAAAAGAGTGGAGGCCAGAGTTAAAGACAACTCAGGCAGAGGAGCCGAAGGAAGAAAGGGGACACTGACAGAGCAGCATCTTTCACAGGCCTGCTAAAAACAGAAGGTCACCCTCCACACGGATGCCTTCCCAACCCTCCCTGCTCAGGTCTTGACCCAGCAGTTACTGACACAGAATAGGAACAAGAGGGTCTGGAGAGGGTAAGGGTCCCTAAGGCATACTGCCCCTACCCATTAGAACATCCTATACCCATGATACATGTACTTCCCCCACTTTGTTTTGATGAAAGCCCTACATTACTACCTGTTTTCACTACCTGAAAGAATTCCAAAGAGAATTTTTGCTTTTACCATCAAAAGGTGAAGAGTGAAAATAGCATTCAGCGTTTGTGTTGCAGTTATAGAGGCAGGCCGCACCCGAAGCAGTAGCAGTGGCAGTGAGAGCGACCCCACCAAGTTCCTTCCCCAGGAACTACACTCAGCATCTCAGCCTCCAGCCACCAGAGCTCTGAACTATGTATGTGAGCATCTGTGCTCTATCTCAATTTATTCTGTGCCTCCCTTAGCAAGATGTGCCCTAAGGTATCAGAAAAGCCTAAGAAGTTTTTTTTTTTTTTTTTGTTTGTTTGTTTTTTGGGCAGGGGGAAGGTGGGAACATTCAAAATAATTTCTAGAAATGGTAATGTTTGCTTTATGCTATTTTTTTCTTCTTTGGCTTATGAAAGTTTTCATAGGAACACACTAGTTTTGGATAGTGGAGAAAGCTGTACACCTTTTATAAACCTCATCCCAAGACTTGCTTTCTCATTCTGTTCCCTGTGGGTTCCTCCTTCAGGAACAACCGCAGGCAGCACTGGGGCCCCAAAATTGCACAGCCCATCTTAAGAAGCGGGGAAACAGAAAAGAAGGGAAGAGATTAATCACTTCCAGAAAAAGTCCCATGCCACCACAGCTTCCTTCTGGCAAGTTCTACAGGCTGGTAAAACAAGAGACTGAGTTACATGTTGAGAAGGTGAAAATTAGTTTGGCCTGAGACAATGAAAATCCACCATGTCATTCATCAAGCTGGGAAAACAGACACAGAACACAGATAAAGCCAGCTGCAAAATTAGCAGAAAATTCTATTTCTCCCAAGGAAACACTGCAGCTGTAAAGTGTCCTAATGACACTCAGTAGCATGACTATTACTTTGTTACTAAGAAATCTTGCTTTCTAAAATCATAGTTTATCAGAAACTTCATTTTGGAAATAATTTCAGTAAGAACAACACATCCTGCTGTTGCCTACAGGATCTAATTCACTTTGACACAGAGCAACTGCCTTGATATCCAACCCAGGTACAGATTCAAGATAGGGGTTCAGGGGTATATCATTCTACATCTATCTTAATTTGTAGTTTCTAAGAAAAGGAGACCTTGTGTCCCATTTCACCATCCAGACCTGATGTTATCCCTTTTACATACAACCCTTCTTTGCTTTAACTTATCAAAATACTGTTTCATATCAATTTCAGGGGCGCCTGGGTGGCAGTTAAGCGTCTGACTTCAGCTCAGGTCATGATCTCACAATTCGTGAGTTTGGGCCCTGCATCAGGCTCTGTTCTGACAGCTCAGAGCCTGGAACCTGGTTTGGATTCTGTGTCTTCTCTCTCTGCCCCTTTCCACTCATTTTCTCTCTCTCTCTCTCTCTCTCACTCTCAAAAATAAATAAATGTTTAAAAAAAATAAATTTCACCTAAATGCCATCCCTCCTTAAAACTGCATCATAATTTTTCCCTTTCTTGGTGGCACATGCCCATGGTTCCTCTGGTATGTGACCTCCCAACAAGCCAATAAACCTGACTTTGTCAACTATAAGTTTGTTCCTGGTGTCCTGATTAGGACACGTGGAGGTTCTCTTGATACTCGGTCAATACCCTCCCTACTAAGCTTTGGCCTCCTTAACTCAGTACTAATGTGCATATCTGAGACTCCTTGAATCTCAAGACATTGAAGGTCTCTTTGTCTCTGATTGTGTGATTTTACACTGAATTTAGATTCCGATATCAAAGGACCAAAGATACAACCAGTTTAATATTTGTCTGCTAGAATTTTTGGTTTCTGGTCAGACCTGAGTGTCCCCTGGTGAAGTTTGACTTTTAACACCATCTTCTGCCTTATGTTTGTCCACCAGCTTCTGTTTGTCTATGAGAACTTTCTCCAGTCTTCTCTGGGTATGAGAAATTGGCTTTGAAAGATCTCTCCACACAGAGCCAGGTGGCTGCTGATTTCCCAGGTCAGCAAGTAGAAGCAGCCTAACCTTAGGGCTGAGGACTTAAAACACAAGTGATATTTTACCTCTGAACAACAGTCAAAAAATCTCTCATGGGCTTGTCTGCTAATAAGTCTGTGCTAGCACATGGCATAACTTCACTGAGGATAAATTAGAATTATAGTGGCCACTAGGGGAACTTTGACATGAACAGGAATGTTCATTTGAGAAATGCCTAAGGCAAAAAGGGAACAGAAACTCTCAGGAGATTGTATAACTGGTCTAAAAGAGAGAGATCACTGTGATTAATGTAGATTTCCCCTCTGTTTCCATTCTGTAGGGATTAATAAACACTGGCTTTTAATTGTATGGCTTGATAAAATTGTCAAGGGCTTGAGTTACTGTTTAAACCTATAATGACTTTCTCTTTTGGGTCTATGTATATATGAAACAGGTTTGCCTGCATCTAAACTTTCTCCCTTCTCCTTACAGAGAAAAGATAACTTTTTTTTTTTAATATTTTTTTATTTTTTGAGAGAGAGACAGAGCGTGAGTGGGGGAGGAGCAGAGAGAGAGGGAGACACAGAATCCAAAGCAGGCTCCAGGCTCTGCGCAATCAGCACAGAGCCCGATGCAGGGCTCAAACCCACAAACCGTGAGATCATGACCTCAGCTGAAGTCACTTAACAGACTGAGCCACCCAGGCGCCCCGAAAAGATAACCTTTTACATTGATAATTTCATACTTGTCTAAAGCTACCTCTTACTTTTTTTTTAAGTTTATTTATTTATGAGAGAGAGAGAGAGAGAGAGAGAGAGAGCGAGCGAGAGAGAAAGCAGGGGAGGGGCAGAGAGAGAGGAGAGAGAAAAAATCCCAAGCAGGCTCCACACTGCCATCAGGGAGCCCAATGCAGGGCTCTAACTCACTAACCACAAGATCATGACCTGAGTAGAAGTCAAACATTTAACCAACTGAGCCACCCAGGCACCCCACTCACTTTGTTGTTGGTCTGTCTTTCTGTTTTTCCCTCACTTGGGAATTTTTAAAGATCAATTGCTCAGAAAAAAAAAAAATCATGGTCATTATTTTGCATATCATATAGTCAAAAATGTCAAAGAATAAAGAAAATAAAAATGTCAGTAAACTATTTTGCATTATAAAATGTAGACAAATGTATTTAAATAGTAGCCTTCATTACTATAGCTATGAGAGAACTTAGCTTCAATATAAGAGCTTTTAAATTTTTTTTTAAGTTTATTTATTTTTGACAGAGACAGAGTGCGAGCATGAGCTGGGGAGGGGCAGAGAGAGAGGGAGACACAGAATCCGAAATAGGCTCCAGGATCCGAGCTGTCAGCACAGAGCCTGACGTGGGGCTCGAACTCACAAACTGTGAGATCATGACCTGGACCAAAGTCAGATGCTCAACCGACTGAGCCACCCAGGTGCCCCTAATATAAGAGCTTTTAATTATGACTTTAAGATTACTTAAATTTTGTTTCATGAATACAAAGTTTATAAAGTGTATTTTTTAAAGTATCCTGTAATTGTCTCATAAATAAATTTTGGATAAATTAGAATGAGTTAATCATATTGATTAGAGACAATCTATGCCTATATTGCCTTGTGGGTTTTTTTTTTCATGTTTATTTATTTTTAGAGAGAGATAGCACATGAGCAGGGAAGGGACAGAGAGAGAGGGAGAGTGAGAATCCCAATCAGGCTCCATGCTCAGCATGGATCCCAACTCGCAGCTTGATCTCACAACTCTGAGATCATGAACTCAGCCACAATCAAGAGTGGCATGCTTAATTGACTGAGCCACCCAGGCGCCCTTGCCTTGGTTTTATTATATAAAGTTATTGCCCTGGTTTTATTATATAAGATTAATGCTAAGACAGTATTCTAGTTCATATAAAACTAAGATTAAAACTTCAAGATTTAAACCTTCTAAATTTTGTATGTTTGTTTTATGGGACAAGAAAAGAATCACGGTTGAAGCAAACTTTTCAAGATTACAAAATATAAAATTGTGTTTACGTAAAATCATAGGACAGATGTCTTTTAAAGGTTCTGATCTTGTAAAATTCTTACAATACTATGAATCATAAGGATTTAATGTTTTAACTAAAATTACAATTTCCATATACTTAATTAAAATGTTAAGACTTTAGAAAATGTTGAATTACTTGATATAATATTTGGATACCTGAACAGTTTCTAAGCTTTGAAATATATATGTAATATATATAATAGTTTTAATTTATCCTTATTCACATACATTATATAAGGACTGTAGATTAATAGAATGTATAAATGTTTAAAGATTTTATTTTTTTTTTAAATAATCTTTACAACCAACGTGGGGCTCAAACTCACAACCCTGAGACCGAGAATCACACACTCTACTGAATGAGCCAGCCAGGTGCCCCTTAGATAAATTATATTTTAAGATTAAAGTTAACTTTATTATACATACATATTTATGTATGTCTACATATACATACAGAGGTACATTAATAAACTTTAATTCTATAAATGACAAAAAGATAATTTCAAGGATATATTCAATGTTAATTGATTTATTCACAGAAAAGGCTTCTAAATCTTACTGCAAATTGTAACATAGACAATACACAAAAAGAATAAAATTCGTGTTTTCTTTCCATAAAATGACCTCAGTTATTTTGTGCCTAGATACGAGTTTTCTTTTGAATCACCAAAATATTCTATTAACTCTCTGTCCTAGCATTCTTTTGAATAATAACACAAATTTCCTTACTTTTTTAAGTTACTACATCAGACCTCAAAGAAAGAATGCAGTCAAACCTCCGTGAGAAGGACCTTACTAGGTACTGTTAACAACTAACACAACAGGGAACCCATGCCTCCCAAGTCAAAAGGCATAAGCCACACGAAATCCCTGGGACGCTGTCCTGAGACCTCACACAGAGAAATCTGAGGAATCATTCCAGAACAGATAACAGCAGGAAGTTGCACCTCCCACCCAAGACCATTGGGACCGCACTGGTAACCACAGGAAGTGCCACCTTCCCTCAAGATCCACCAGACAAGACCACCAGAGCCACCCGCTGCGGCGCTTTAACCGGCACGTGCTTTTGCTCTTTTCCTTTGTTCTTTCCTCTCTGCAAAGTTAAGGTTTCAGTTATTAACACTTCTTGTCTGTTAACCAGGATACCTCCAAGGTCTTTATCTTTAATACTCTTTGTTTGTTTGTTTGTTTGTTTGTTTGTTTACCTTAGTCACTCCTCGGTACAAGTCCAGTGCCCGGCTACAACATGCAATTAATTACACTGTCTGTTGGGTTTGTACTTACTTTCCTTCGGTGCCATCCGACTTCCTTTGCTAGAAGTATCATGGAATTAATCAAATGATTTCCTAGGTGATAAGACTCAACCAAGAAGGGATCTAGGGATGGACAATATTGTTATCAGGCCAAACAACTAGAATTCTAAAATTCCCTGTCATGTCATACATAGAAAGGAAGTATGGGTTCCTAAACAAAACAATGCTCAGAAACCTTTTGTGAAATTAGCTGTTCCATGCAAATTTTCACAAAAAGAAAGCCAGTGGTGGTGGTAAAATAAGTGACAAGTAGATGTTTTGAGAAAATAGGACACAAGGAGGGGGAAAAGATGGTAAGAGTTCACTGAGGGGAGATAGGCTCCAAAAAGGTACTCAGACAAAGAGGCAACAGATGGAAATATTCCTCTGGAGAGTCCAGAGACTATATTCCCTACATTCCCTATAGGTTTCTGAGCCAGTATCAATCCCAGGCTGCACTGGGCCCTGTCACTGCATAAGTCATCCTAGGAAGAGGGATACAGGAAAGAGGGGAGAGAGATTCATCTCCGGTTCACCAGAAAAGCTCGTCCTGTGCTTCATTAGGTTCTTTCAGTCATCCTCTCCAATGTGAGAATCCAAGAGCTTGGGTTACTTGTGGTGAAGAGAGGAGCAAAGTGATATTTTAGGAGGCCGAGTGGAATGATCCTTTGGGGCAGACTCTTAGGGGACTAAGACTCTGAAAGCAACAAAATTAACACACAAGATAGAATAGGCCATGACAATAATAGGAAGGCCTTTCACAGACATTATCTCATGGGATCCTCACAACAACCCTGTGAGGTATGGAGACCAGATGATACCTCAGAGGAGGAACCTGAACCTTGGGAAGTCAGACAGCTTGTCCAAAATCAGGATCTGGGGTTTCTGCCTCCAAAACCAGTAGTGTTTCCAATATATCTCATGTGGCCCTCCCCATGGCAGAACAGGGAATCCTTGTTGTGAACCTCCTCTCTAAGAGTTCTGTTTTCTAATGGGAATTGCTCTAGGAACTGCCATCCGCAGAGATTGTGGACCTGGGTCCTCATGGACAGGTGAGATTAAGGTTGACGATACAAAACCTTGCCTTTTAATGCTAGACCTTTGTTCCTCTTTCTGACTGTGCACTGATCTTAAGAGACTACAGTGAGTGGCTAGGACCAAATTTTCATGCTCTTCTCTCTAGATTAGCTGCAGACATTCATTATTCATTATTCACGGATAATCTGATTTTCTAAATTAATAGAGCTCTGTTAGTCACTTTAAAGTGAATAGAATATTGTCCACTTTTCCTTCTACAAAAATTTCAAAAAGGGTTTTCTGTATGTCAATCTCAACTATTTTTCAGTCCCTATCCTCTTCAGGTAAAGGACACAAATTGCCCAGAACAGAAAGCTCATGTGTATTCCTTCACATCGGACTTGACCCTGATGACAGAGCTTGGGTTCTAGCATCTGATTTGAGGCTTTCAAAGGCGAGGAGCACTCTTCTCCATATCAGCCCCAACACAAAGGGAGGCCCTGGCCCAGATATACGGGAGTTGGAATCACGACTGATGAATAGAGTTGAGGGACTCTGTCCTCCACAGGTACCCCAAACTCTCTTTATAATCCAGTCTATGGCAGGTGACTCACTGTTATCAGTGTTCTATAGGAGCCCTCTATCATCCCAGATAGAGGGACTGTGAGCTTCAGATATAAACCCCAGTTCCCACTCCTATGCCTGTCCTGTGCTCTGTGATGACATTCTAGCCTTTCCTGAGAGTTTCCATCTCAGGTGGCTCTCTGTATCAACATAATTGGTGTAGAAAAGTAGGAAGAGGAGAAGATTCCTCTCTGCTGGGGGCTGGCCCTAAAGTTCTTTGCCATATTGATGTGTCTGTTTTTCCTAAATGTTGGTAAAATTTGCTTCCTCTGTAAATAGTAGAGGAATAGAAAAAGGAATCCCATACTCACAGAAAATATAAAATGGAACTAGTGCCCCAACGCTCATTGAGAAAGTATCTGAAAGCAGAGTTTATCTGAAGTGCACAGAAGCCTCAAACAACTGAGCGCTGAGAAAATGTACTGTAGACTAGAGTTCTAGGTCCCCACTATGGAGTTCTGGAAAAGTGACAGTGTTTTTGATGTGGGAGAGGGTCCTTAAAGAGGAAGGTGAATCCACAATCCCTCTCCACAGCATCCAGCCTAGTAGAACCCTTCACTCCTCCCCGGCCTTCTAGATCCTTCCATCCTTCTCTGGGCCTTAGTATTTTTCCAACTCCATCCTTTTTTCATATCACAGATACACTTATGCTTCCTACAACCCAGATATTATCTGAGTTGTCCCCCTTGGTCACCTCAGCTTTGATCCTACCAGTTACCAATTATATAGCCTTTGAAAATGTGAAGTTGTTCCAGGAGTTTTTACTAACTCCCAGGAATTTAAATTCTCAAGATTTCCTGTTCTCAATTCCAGATTCCTAGCCAGCATTAATCCAGACATAGGATACAACTCCGCCTTTATGTTTACCCAAAAGTGTCCACTTTCACATAAAGCATTAGTGAGCAATGTAGCCTTTACAAAATGATGATGAAGAGGACTGGGGCAGACCTCACCCCTGGCAAACAATTTTAAAATCCCCAACTGCTATAAACACTGACTTATTTCCTTACCTGAAACAGTCTTAGCCCGGGTCACCTAGTCCTTTCCTACCCATGTGATGAGGCTTTGCCAAAACTGGGAGCAAAAACAAGAATGAAGGATAGATCCTCAGTTAACAGTGCTACTGGGATACTGTTGCTTTTAGGTACTTTCAGTGAACAGAGAAAGTAAAAGAATCTAAACCTTGAGTTCGTATTAATATATCAAATTTAACACAGGATTTTTACTTTAATTTCTTACATGTATCTCCTTTCTCCCACAATGAAAAGTTTGGATCTTAACATTAACATTCTTATTTGTCCTTTCCTAATATATAAATTATATATTTCAAAATTATAATACAAATATTACTCCTAATAATAAAACTACTGCGTGAAGGTTGAAATTATTTGCAACTCTTTTTTCATTAGAATATACCTCACCAGGAATGTATACCAGAAGAACATGTTCCAGAATGACTAGAAATAATTCTTTCCTCTGTATGGTTATGTAACCAATTTGATAAAGAGTTAAGGTTATTAATTTCAATTAATTTTCAATTTTAGGGTTAGCATTCTTTTTCCTGCTGATTGTAGTCTTCAGAAAAAAACAAAACGTTTACATAGTTCAAAAGTCAAAAGTAAACTATACTTAGAGAAGTCTCACTTCCAACCCTTTCCTTTGATTCATCAACCAACACATACAGATGATAACATAGCTTGGATTTCTTCCCTCAGGATGTAGAAGGGATATCAAGAAAGGCAAGAGAAGAAAGTAGAAAGACTATGGTTCAAATCCCCTACTGTTTGAAGGTGGGCATTTCCTAGGCCTTTGAGACTTGATTTCTTCACATGAAAATGGGAAATGCAATACCCATCTCCTAGAAATAATCTACAGATTAGATGAGGTAACACGTGAAATGCCTGGTCCACAGTAAATACTCAAAACGTGAGAGCACTACTCAGTATAAAAAGATCAATGGGACTTTGAAATGTTAGACCAACTTGTCACCTAATTTTGGCATCTTTTAAAAATCCTTCAACATAATGTAGAAATAATAATAATGTATGCTAACAGTCTGGAACAGAGGTCAGAAGACTAAACAAACACCTATATTGAAGACAAATAAAAGTAACTTTTTTTTTTCCAAAACAAAAACACCAGACTTGTCTGGATGGCAGTGGTGACGTAGACTAACAAGAAAAGACATAAAAAGAAAACTCAGATTATGACTATGTTAGGGACTGAATATTTGTGTCCCCCTCAAAATTTATGCCAAAACTTTACCCACCCCTGCAGTGTATAGTATTAGGAAGTAGGGCCTTCAGGAGGTAAATAGGATTAGATGAAGTCATCAGGGTACAGCCCTCATCTGAACCCGAACCCTAACCCTAACCCTAACCCTAACCCTAACCCTAACCCTAACCC